TAGGTTGTTGTGGTCCCTAGGGTTCAAGGATTCAAAAAAGATAAACCAATTCCGAAAATGGGATGTCTACAAAGATACACCTCATTGCGCTATTATATGGTGAGATTTCCTTATGCTCTATCTCTCAAACACTTTAACCTTAGCAGGCGACGGATTCAAAATATGTATCGTACGGCATCAAACTCCACTAATATCATGTGGATAGGTGTATATTGGCCTTTTGAGAGTATATGTATCCCATAGCTTATCTCAAATTGAGATGACTTGATGGTCTCTTGCGATCGATCATTAACAAAAATACACATGTGATTGACGACGGATTAGAAATTATATTGTACAACATCAATCTCCTCCAATATCATGTGGAGACACGTACATTGGCTTTTCTAGAGTATATATATCCTAGAGTTTGTCTTGAATTGAGATAGTTTGATATCTTTTAATGATAGGACGTTACTCAAGATGCCCATACTTGACTGACGACAAATTGAAAAGTATGTCGTACCGCATCAAATTCCTCCGATACCGTGTGGAGAGGCGTATATTGGCTTTAGAAGTATGTGTACCTTAGAAGCTGTCTTGAATTGAGATGGTTTGACACATCTTGCTATTATTGATCGTTAGCCAGGACATATATGGGTTGACCAATGATTAGGATTCTAAAGGCATATTGGGGTCTTCATATGATGAGTCTTAGACATATCATATTAGCATATTATATCAGGAGTATATCTTCACAAGTATCTGCAAGAACCATGTTCAATAGGTTTAAATGGTTTATCTGCTGTCTGTCAAGACATCAATCTGGCGTCAGTTTAATATCTCTCATGATCACGCTGTTAGGTTTATTGGCATATCAAAAGTGTAGTTAGTCTCATATAATGACTAAAAATACACCCAATAGTTGTGTTCTTGCCTAAATAACCCAAACATAGTTGCACAAAGTTGATGTATCATTGCCCACATTTTTCTAACACTCCTACATCGTCTTTGCTTGTCACTGTAATGGTTTCATTGCCACTATTGTCAGTATTCTCTTTCTATTCCCTTTTGAACTTTAGGCACTCTTTCCTAATGTGCAGGTTCTTGCCGCAATGAAAATATGTGATCAGTTTTCCTATCTTTATTCATGGATCAGTTACTTGACGTCGATCCCTAGACCTTACTCGATTCGTGACATGGGCTTGTAAGGTAGATGTGTCAGAGGATATTCTCTTGCATCTTCATTATAAAAACTACCGGTGACTTGACTCTTGGTCACTTTCCCTTCTTGTACTGAGTTGCCCAGAGAATCACCGAAGGTCTCCCAGCTGTCAAGCAATGCACAGACAATAGAGCCTGTTGCTCATCATTTAGAGTCATTTTTAAGCTAGTTGATGATGCTTTGCAACTTGTTCATGTACTTTTCCATAGGGCCTCCGAGCTTCAAGTTTCCATACTTTTGGATGAAGAACACTATATTTCAGGCAGTCTCTCATAAAAGTCCCATAGCTTTGGCGGCGGTTGTCTCTCTCATCACATGGTTGAATGCACATCACCCAGCCTTTTTGGACTGTCAATGTAGATTTTCTGTCAATCTTCTTTCACGCTTCACTTGTCATTCATGTGGCCATGTATTCTACCCCTTAAGTGGTGTATGTAGGACCTTGAAGTACATAATATCTTCTCTCTTGATCTAATTATCCCTGTTGAAGGTGATAGTCAAAAAACAGCTCAAAATATTGGATAATGGAATTCTTCTTTGGGACTAGAAGAAAGGCAAATATATTAGTTATCAAAATAAAAATGTAGATTTTATCAGATATAAATCATTTAATATTCTTTATTATTTAAAAATAGTGCCCAGAAAAAATACATTTCCATTTATTAATTACAATAAAATAGTGCTCAGAGAAATCCAACTCTATTTATTAAATGCATGAATATGTCACAAATTGGTAGTAAAATGACAAAATGCGCATTAATATTGATTTTTGGAATTTGGTAGTTTTGTTTTTAGTTGATTTTTTGGGCATGGGAATCCATACATACGTGGACCAGCTCTTATTTTGGTTGGGGATTCTTATTTCTCTTTTTCAAGAAAGTGCAATGCCATGTTCAAACCATGTAATCACCTTCTAATTGCAAAGAATGGTTACCTCTGTCACTTCACCATTTGTTGCTCTAATTCTTGGCACTAAAACCATTGAAAATAAGTACTAGACATAAAGATTAACACGGTTTACCCTAATAGGCTACCTTCAAGGGAGTGAGACAAACAATTCATTATAAAAAATGAAAATTACAAAGATTCCATGGAACAATTTTTCTTCCAATATTTCTGTTCTTCTCTTGGGTTCCCTTCTTCAAGATGACCTCCTTCTCTCTTAGGGCACAAGTTGAGGATCTCTGCTCTTTAGGTTTTCTTTCTCTAGTTGGGCTCTCTCTCCAGCTCTGTCTCTCTTTCAAAGACGATTTTTACTCTCTTAGGTTTTCTACCCCAATAAATAGGTTTTCAATTTAGATCAAGTGAGCTATTGACCGTTTGATCTAGATCCGACGTCTTAGAGTATTCTATTTGTAATTTTTTTCAACAAATCGAATGAATATGAAATTTGGTACGTGCCATTTTCTCAATGAGACACAACTCAAAATAATATTAAAAAGAGTTTTTTGATAAAATATAATGAACAAAATACCCCTTGAAGTTTTCAGGGGTATTTTGGCTATTTTATTTTATTGAAAATATTTTTTTTATATTTTTTACAAGTGTGAGTTTAAGAGAAGAGATAAAATAGTGTAGAGACTTGACATTATGATTGGGGCCATCTCAGTCCATTTAGAATGGAAAGTTGGATAGGGGAGAATATTTATGCACTAGGGGAAGCATAGAAAGCTTACCATTTAAAATAAGTACTAGACATAAAGATTTAACACGGTTTAGCCTTTTAGACTACCTTCAAGGGAGTGAGACACACAATCCACTATAAAAAATGAAAATTGTGAAGATTTGATGGAACAAATTACCTTCTTCCAATATTTTTGTTCGTCTCTTGGTTTCCTTCCTTTAAGAGGACCTCCTCTTCTCTAAGGTCACAAGTCGAGGATCTCTGCTCTTCAGGTTTTCTTTCTCTAATTGGGCTCTCTCTCCAACTCTCTCTCTCTCTTGTTGTAGGTGAATAGGTCTCTTAATGACTTGGCCCCTAAGTCATTGAGACCAATCCCCAAAATAACCTCCTAGTGAGATTGGGGTCCTTTACCCCTTCTACTGGAATGATGTTGGACCCCAACCTTTTCAAACCTTGGAATCACCTTCTAATGGCAGAGAAGGGAGAGAGGAGCCATAAGTGAGTTATCTACATTGTATAGAAAGGGCCATTTCTAAAACACAGTTGCAGCTATGAACGACAATTGAGACAGTGTAGTCAAAGTGGTTATGAACTGTCTTGGTGCAATTTCTCAATGATAAGAACAATTTGTTGATGTCAACTGCTTCTATTCAAACTCTTAATGGAAATCACAGTCCCAACGTAGATTATGAACCATAGGAGTTAAACCCTAGGGGAAACAAAATGGAAAATCAACCTTAGCTTTATGATTGAGTTGTACTGTTTCTCAAAAACTCATTCACCATTATAAACTAGAGGCCCCAATAAGCCCATTTAACAAATCAATGTGAAATGGCTTGATGTACAGGATAAAATCCAAGGTTTGGCAAAAATAAAAGAAAAAAATTAGTGCAGAAAAAAGTTGCCTAGGGGCAGCAAATTTGGCAAAGTTCGCTTCAACTAATCAGAAAAACGCCATGCAAGGGATTGAGATTAGGTTCTTTCTGGCACTAGAATACCCACCCAATGACTAAAGAACTCACCCTTCTCTCCTGCATAATATTCTCTAAAGAACTAACCCTTCTGTCTTGCATGATATTCTCTAAAGAACTAACCCTTCTCTCTTGCATAATATTCTCTAAAGAACTAATCCTTCTCTCTTGCATAATATTCTCTAAAGAACTAACCCTTATCTCTTGCTTAACCTTTAAAGAACCACGTGATTCCATTTATCTCATTCCTACTTCTCATATATTTCCTAGATCTACAAGGAATTACAAAAGGTTTCCCTCTCTCACATAGGTGTCACGTGATTTCCATCTTTTGTCCCATTCGTAATTTGATTTAGTTGGCTTTCCTATAAAATAAGAACTCCTCCAGCAATCACGTGCTAGAGGAATCCATAAGTATTCAAGCCTCCTAAAACTAGGAAACCAAATGTTATCACAATATTTCATGGATACACCAAATCCCTAATTAAGGAAACACATTATCCCAAACATGGTAACACTTGAAACCCATTTCAACTCCGTTGATATAAAATATGAACAGTGACCTTAACCTATACATGATATCGTATTACTGCTAGATCCTTGGTTGTTTAACTTGCTTGCGTGTCATCACATTATTAGTGTTTTTAGTATATTCAGCTGGTCATTTAGATTCTTTTCGTCTTGATGATCCATCATACTTTATTTTAATGGCTCTGGATCTAGCCATTGATGGTCTTTCGGTTTATGCATCGCATTCATTTGGTTCACCATCACTCCTTTGAATATTTTAACAAAGAACAAACCAGTTTTAGTGTTAAGAACTAGTACAAATTATTGTTAACCAGTTCAATTATATGAAGAGAATGTATGATGTCAGCTAGATGCAATTCAATTGTTTAACATGGGGTTTAGTATATAATCTGATTGCTCACAAGAACATTTTACGCAATTAGGTATTGAGGCTCACTGAGCATTTGCATGCTGTGCTTGACATGGGAAAACTATGATTGGAAATTATTGGCATGCTCAGTGTAGAAGAATTTGCAGACCACCAAACAACCAAAACCCTAAGTTAAAGGAAAACACGTTGAATGTGTTAAAAAAAAGAACACGCTGATTCTCGAGTAGGGACAACTGAGTGCAAACAAAAAGGAAATGAAGCTATACAAAATCATACCACAAGCATCTTAGGCACACTACAGTACAGCACATTTAAGTTTACTGGAATTGATTTGGTTCGAGTTACAAATAATGCTACAGTGAATCATTCAAGGATTTATTACCAATTTACCATTCCTCTTTTGAGTTCTTCATATGAACATAACAGAATGCAATGGTCAATCCCATGCATTAAGCAACACAGATTTTCATCATACAATTGAAGAAATGATTCCTCGGAATTCAATTCTGTAATACTGCGTTGTGTCAGCTTCGACAGTTAGAATATGAAAGGTTTGAATCTCATTTATTTCCATCAGCAATAACCTGCACAGTGTACCGACCACGTGCACTTTCTGGCCTTCCAATGTACAAATCAGTCTCCACATCGACATGCTCACTACTGGTTATATAAGAAACAGTTGATTTCCGGTTGTCTCTTAGAGGTGTTTGTGGTATCCCACACTGATATGAGCAAACAAAAATTAAGCGAGAATTTAGTGTGATTCAGAGTTAATCATGAATCATGGGATGGGGCTGTCAGATAATATAATTAGTCATCGATTTGTATCAGTCGAAGAGAAAAGACATAAAACATCACCTTCTCACTTAGCATCGCATTTTCCGCAGACAAGACTTTTTCCTGAATGTAATTACGTTTCGTGTTAAACGTGAGTGCTTGCCATGAAGAACTTTCTATTCTAAATCTAGGCCATACTTGACATCCAGATCATCTCAAAATAAAAAAGTATTAAGGCTTTTGAATGGAAATTAGTGAAAGTGAGAAGTAAATAATTTTCATAATGGAAATAGTCAGTTTCTTAAGGTGATGGGCAATGCAAAAACTGCATACCTTTTCTTTTAGCTTCTCAATCTGCTCCATTAACATTGCAGTCTGAAATTCAGAGATTGATGAAGAGATTAAACAAAAGTTGATAATATCAAAACCTGCGACATGCATTTACAAGAAATCAGCTTTCTATACACAAGATGTAACCTTTCTTCCCCTGATACTACTTAGGCTTCGCTCAAGCTGGCTTTCTATATGTTGCAGTTCCTCCACGGAGCATGAATCTAATGATTCCCCCAGAAGCTTCCTGCAAAAAACCTTCATTCCTTAAGCAAGAAGATGAATTAAGAGAATGATAACTAGTTCAGGCACTCGAGCTCAGTTCACGGTTTATGTTCTTATCTTCAAATGGAGATATTGAACCTTTTAGAAAACTCAAGGAGCTCTATCTTCTTTGCCATGGTAGCAGCTTCATACTTCCAGTGCTGCAGGTAAAAGAGAAAGGTCGGAAGGGGGAACAGAAACAGTGAACTGCAGAATACTTAGTTTCTCATGAACTTAAAAACGTTTAATGCAACTAGCAATGCAAAATAGATACTTTATCGAGAGATTCAAGACAGATAATGGAAAATTAAGGGGACCATATACCATGCTTCTTATGAGCAGCAATGGTTACTTGTACCCAAACTCCAGCATCAATACCAGCCCATAACGATGGGGATGAACAACAGGTCCCGACTAAAGGAAAGGCAGACTTAAAAGCGGACAACTTATTTTCCTCTATCAGTAGATAAGTACATATGGATGATTTCTTTTGTTTTTTTCGTTTTTTGTTTTTGGCAGTAGATTAGCGGGGATTACAGGCCCGTACCCATTTTGGAAAGTGTTAGTGAGAATAGAATCTCATCACCTTTAACTGAGGCTCAAGTGGGACTACCACCACAACCCCAGACCCATTCTCACATATGGAGGTCCCAGTAATCAACACTCTTCAGGGTAAAAACAATTCAAACATTTAACCAACTAGTAATTTAAGTTTGTCTCTTAGTCAGCATTACTTTGAACCAGTGTACAGAAAAACAGCTCAGCCCGAGTTAAAAAATAAAAATAATGAACAAAAGATTAATATATATTCTATAACGTTCCAGTTTCTAACATTAAATGCAAAATGGCAATACTGGTTAGCTATCTGCTCTTCGTATGCCTCTTTACCTGAGTTCTCATGTTTAATCCTCAAGGACACTTTATTTTGGGCATCCTTTTTTTTTTTCACCTCTTAAAAAGAGTCCTAGATTTTTAAAAAAATAAGGCAGTGTGTACAAGCATGCTTAAACCCTAACCGTGCAAGCTAGCCAACAGGCAATTTGAACAATTTTGAGTTAAATAGAATTTATCCATATAAGATATACAAACATGGGTGTACAACAGACTCGAGAGAGACTTGTCTCACCCAAAGGTGACGTCGAGTAACTCGGCCGAGTCTGAGTGCACTCCGCTGAGTCTTGGAATAATGCTTTGGACTAGAGATTGGCATTGGCTTGAAAAGAACTTGGCATGATTATTTGTTGCAAATTGAAAGTATAATACTCTGAATTTGGGGAATAATGTGATGCTCATATTGGGTGTATCTGATTCAATGTTACATAGACACCCCGTTTATGGGATGGTCTCCTCTGTCTACATACGTGCACTCCTCTAGACACGGCTCAAACATGCAGTCCATATGTGTCCCCTCATTACTGAAAGATACGGAGCATTGATCCGTTATTAAAATAAGGGTACAGTTAGCCTACGGATGCATTTACAGCTGTAGAGGTAAGGTGCACCATCAAATTTTATCATGGTTTATAATTTTGATGTAAAATGTTCTTAGGATTATCTCAAAATCTATTTTTATATCTAATTATAAAATTTTAAATTTTAAAAATGGTCAAAATCAAGTAGATATATAAACAAATGAAAATCTTGAAAATGGACGGTATAGATAATATGTTGTAAAATGCACTATTTTTAAGACTTAAAATCATTTTATTTTTCATGATCATACATCTCGATGTCGAGATGAGCAATCAAAGGGTTTTTCAATTTTAAAACTACCTTTTCTGATGGATTTTTGAGGTGCATCTATAGTTCTACCTGTAAGGTTGCAACCTTATATAAACCTTTGCCTTAAAATAATGGATAACTAATATAGCATATGTGTAAAATGTAAATCCACCCAGGTGTTGAATTTCTACAGTTGGGGTACATCTATTATGTAATGAATTACTTGATATAGGAGAAAACATCGCCATATTTTGGAAAATCGAAATAAATACCAACCCAAGTAGATGAAGCATTTCAGCTTCTAAATCAAAAATACAAATCACTTCACTTTTTTATTCCAAAGAAAATTGCAAACAATGGCATATCACATGCATGGGAATGGACAAGGAAAATTTTATTATTAATGTATTTTATTATTAATGTGTGCTACAAGAAACACTTTATTTGAAGAATACAAAACAATCATAAATACGAAGTTTTAATTAATTCTTTCAATAAAATAATATCGATTCTATGATATTAAGTTTTACTTGTGTACTTTTTGAAATTTTCACATAAGAAAATACTTGTAATAATATGTTTAGTGGCACCACTGGCCAAGATCAACCTCACATAACAATCCATTGGAGTTTTATTTACAAGATTGCCTAGATAAAATGGCAGTTCTGCAACATATTCAGATGTCACTAAACTGACTTCAATGTACATGTCACATGGGACTAGATTCATTGAGTTCAAATCATTGCCAGTGTGAAGAATGATTTAGTGGTTATCAGTCACCATGCTAACCTGTTTTCTGATGTCGGACAGTAAATTAATGAATATGAACAAATCATCATTGAAGCCACGCGCATCGTGCATCGGGTTTATCCAAACACAGAAAATAAGTATCATAATGAGTCCAATCCCAAGTAAACTCAAGGAAGCACAAACCTGCATGCTCTGTTCCAATATTTTGCCATTCATTCCCACTTCTTTTGAGTATCTCTGGTATCTCTCAATCGTCTTTTGCATGCTTCAGAAACGTCGTTTTTATGCAGAAGAAACTCACCAGTCAACAACAGTAGTGCATGCTCAAAGCAGAAGTTCTAAGAACGAATAATCAAATTCAGGTACTACTATCCACGTGAGGAAACTCTATTTCTTGTCATTCAAATTTCCTGACAAAATGACTGGATGGAAATAAATTTTCAATTTCAACTTAAGAGAAACTACTGAAACGTTTTAATAAACATCAATATAAGCATCAATGTATCATATCCACAGCAATCACCAAACATAAAAATACCCTTCAAATCCCGCTAACTATTCGAAAATCGGAAAAATATCTACCAGTTAGCATGCGAAGAAAAATGTAAGGATAAGACACGAATCAAAACGAGTAACTCCATAGACTGATGGCACAGTTAGAGATGTTGAGTCTAACTTAGAGAAATGAAATAATGTCGCCCATCATACCGATGAGTACTAAGTAGAAGGTTGAAGCCTTTAAGTACTTATGAGCCCAAATAATTCAGATGAATAGATCCAAAAAATTCAAGACGACTCCCAAAATTTCCCTTATTATTGCTTATGTAGAGCATTTATTGTATCTGTTCGACAATAAATATTTATTCTATTTGTTAGCCAATAATGAGAATTAAATGAGAGAGGGGAAACAAAACAAGTGGACACATGACGAGTATTGCCCAACACGTCAGCCTACGAGTCACTGGCGCCCCATTTTTCTCTCTTTGGATACGCTCGTCGAGTCTACTCAGATGCCCGAGTCGAGTTTCGGAACACAGGGACAACGGGTAAAGACTGGCATACCCCCTCATCATAGAACGGTGCTTTAAAAATGAGTTGTTAGGCAAGGACAGGAGATGTCTCACATGGTTGTGGCTTTCTCCTTGGGTATCTTGTGTTTTGAGTTTGTTCTTTCAAATGTCTTCCTACAGAGGTTTGTGGGTTTTAGTTCTAGTATGTTTTCATATTTTTGTACTTCCAGGAGTGTAACTCTCATTAAGTTAAAGAGGCCATTAGAGCAATGAGTACTGCACTCGATAAAAGAAAGAGGCTTTATGCAAAGACTCAGTGAATGGAAATAACCATGTGAGTATGCTCTATTTGGATGAAAGAGACCATTATAGCAGGTGAATCTTGACTTGAATGAATAGGCCTTTAGAGCAGAGCTCTACCTCACAGTAAGTGATCTTTAGAGGTGGTTAGATTTGACTCAATTTGGGACAGAGTGGGCTCCATCACTCTCGCCTCGGCACATGACTAGAGATCTTGACTAAATCTAGCAGTATGATTACTGTCTCATTGTATATCACACTCTTTCGCAAGCTTTGAGAATGAGAGTGGTCTGGCGATGACATGAGATGTCTCAAATGTTTATGGCTTCCTCGAGGATACCTCAGAATTCAGCAAGTACCTCCATGTACAAACCTATTGGCTTCTACCGTATTAGGGAGAATTGTATATACGCAGGGTTGGTGTAGCTCGATAGGCATTGTTCGGGGAGCTAAGACTACATGTGTATAAAATGTGTTCCAAGAGAGAGTTTCTTTTTAGGTAAAATATTTCAGAACAGTTTCATTTTATATAACTCTACCTTGGCTGGCCCCAAGCCGGTCATGCCGGTCCCAAGCCCAGGTAAAGGAGGAAGGTTGTGTTAGGTAGGGCAGCCAGCATAAGACTTTGCGAAATCTTGTCATGAATCTTGAACCTAGGAGTAGAATGGCAGAACATGATTCATGTAGCCTACCCCAAATATATGCGTGATATTACAATACAAAGTGTTATTTGAATTTGCAATGATTTAATCATGAGTGATATTGGCAAACAATATGTATCCATCATTTTTGTTGTTGAGTTTGCATAACGATAGTTGTAGTTATCGTTCTCCCTCCACATTCTTCGATGTCATTCATCATATATTTGTATTATGTGGTTACTAGTCTTTTTCTTTATGCATCACATGTTTTTATCATGCCAGTTAGAAGTGTACGAAAGTCCACCTTGGCCAAGGAACTCACCCCTTGGCGAAGGTGGGTTACTCGGGCAAGTCCTCGCCCGAGTTATGCCCAAGCAAAAAACTCATGGAAAAGACCTGGAGAAGTGAGAGAAACTATGAAAGAGAGTAGTAAAGAAAATACATAGTCTACGATGGACCACATGGCCATAGAGAGGAAGAAAGGGGAAGGTGGCAAGGGAATGAAACGGGGCTATATGGCTTTAAGAGAGGAAGAGAAAAAAGTAAGGGGCAAGACAAGGAATAAAATGGGGACATGTGACTTTAAGAGGGGAGCATGCTGTGAGAGAGAGGGAGAAGGAAATAAAGAGAGGGGCTGAGAGGAAAGGTGAAGAGAGAGAGAGAGTTGGGAGGAGGAGGGAGAAAAGAGGGGGGGAGAGCAGCTACGAGAGAGGGAAGGAGGAAAAGAAAGAGTTAGCAGAGAGAGGGAAAGAGAAAAAGGCGAGAAAGCAGCTAAGAAAGAGGGAGGGAGGAAAGGAGAGGGAGAGAGAGCAGCTGAGAGAGAGCGAGGGATGAGAACAAGTAGAAGCCCAAGAGTTTGTATGGATAGATAAAGTAAGGTTTGTAGAGTTGCAGGGAATGGAGGTGCAGTAAGGATTGCCCTAAAAAGGAATGGACTGGATGTAGAGAGAATTTTCTCACTATAAGAGAGAGAATGTACACCTCCCATTTTCTAGGGAGTTGTTCATGCTACTTGGGGAATACTCGCCTCGGTTAGAGGCCGAGTCCAAATAACTTGGCTGAGTCTTGTTGTACTGCTAGGTATAGTTTCCAAAATTTTCATTTTTCTAAACATTATCTTCATAACTAAAACATTATTTATTGAATTTTAATACAAAGAATTAGGGGTACGACGTATTCAAAATGAATACATTTAGAAGAACTTAGATATGGCTTCAATAGGCGATAAAATGAGACAATACAGACTTAGCCAGGCTGGGCATGTGTAGCGCAAACCTAGTACAACATTTGTTAGGAGGTGCGAGCTGGTTCAAGTAGATGGCTCGAAAAAGGCAACGGGTAAGCCCAAAAAGACATGGTCGGAAGTATAAGACTTGTGGCCTTATTGGGTGTATGGCATTTGATAAAGCAAAAAGATGGGCTAGGATTCCTGTATTCGACCCCAAATAACTCGGAAAAGGCTTTCATGATGATTGTAATGAATTAGGGGAACGATGTGGGGTTTGGTCATGTTCAGCATCACATTAGAACAACATAAGTTGGAAGGGCATTTAGTTCAATTGGAAAGCTCTTAACAAGAAAAGTAAGACCCCTAAGGATATGGATGGAAGTAATGAGAAAAAATATTATGACTTATATCGGAATGAGGATAGAATCCTTGCTAGAGTGGAGTGATAGAGCAGGACTTCTGTAGCCTAAGTAGTTTAAATAAGGCCTCGATATAATGATGCTGATGAGGGAAATGATGTGGGATATGTTGAATGATGTGACTGAAAAGGTAGGAGTGGTCAACAACGTCGACGGTTGGTATTGGCAATGGGCTAATTTGGTGCATGAAAGGATTTAGGGAAAGTTATGGTTGGCATTGGCACAGGTCCCCAAACTACTATAGGGATCTTAAAAGCAAACTAAAAAAGGGATCTCAACTAACAAAATGATAACCCAAAGTACCAAAATTGCATCGAAGAGAATGTATGTAGATTGTAGAATGCAAAATGTCGAATAAGTGATTAAAATAAGAAAATGTGTGTGCTAATCAATGTTATAATATACCTCTCTAGGAAAAGATCCTTTGGTCTCTTCCCTAAGAATACTTCATCTCCATATTTCTCTAATTCAAACTATGTATTCATAGGGCTACTAATGATTGGGCCAGTTCTGACCTGAGCTTGCCTAATGCTTTATGATTGATGCCTAGGCCCGAAAAATCCAAGTTTTGACCTATCCATAAATCATTTTAAAGTAGCCTGAGCTAAGTCCCACGCAAAAATATTTAGGCTGGTCAGGGCTGGGCTCCATATGAACATAAACTTCACATAATAAATATATGTAAAACTTGATAAAGGAAAACATTCAAGCTAGGCCCAAACTGGGTCAGTGTTGGCATCAGCTAGCCTCGACAATACTTTTGGCCTATAAGGCTCGGTCCGCAGGCTTTCCCCTGCCAATTGGCAGCCCTATGTGTCCATTTAACTTCACTATACAATTTCTCGATCAATAACATAAACCTTAGCCCTGTGCTTTGAGATCAATTGCTAGAATATGAGGATCCCACCAAAGATTATGTACACAGTAGATTAAATGAAACATACAAAAATGCAACAAGAAAACAAGTATGAGAAAAAAAAATAAAAAAGGCAAAGGAATTTGCTACAAAATAGCATAAAAATTATATTGTTCACACGTCACACATCCACAATCTTAGCAAGTTGAAATTTGTTAATACTTTATAATTTAGTTTTATGTTGCAATACATGTGTGTTTGTCTAAACGTGGGTAAAAACTTGATTGATTTTTTCTTTTAAACTTGATCTCTAGACCAATCAACACTGTTGATAAAGTTTTATCTTTACTATAATTATACGGCTACCAAGAAGAAAACCATGGGACCAACCAGTAAACTCCCTCAGGAAGTTAAAATAGGAAAAACCTAAACCTCATAAGAAAAGAACAACATCCTTTTGGTCTGCAAGCGACTTTCTTCCGGAGTTTGAGTAAAATTGCTACATGAAAAGAATTGTAAGATCACCCTGATCAACTACTTCAACTACATCACCGATCATTTCATCTAGCTCTTCATCACATATGGGGTAGCTCATTAGTTGCTCGAAGTTTTCATTGAAGGCGGCGCTCCTGGTCCGGAAATGCAATTCCATTGTCAGTAGCGGCTTCACATTGTATTAAGAATGTGCTCTCCATCTTCATGCGAACTAGGAACACAATTTAATTCCAGACCAGATTTATTTTAGAGAGTATTTAGCATCAAATTATCTAATTCTTTTTTTAACTTAATTTTAATATTTTAATATTTTAATATTATTCTTTAATTAATTATTGGTGCTAGCAAACTTTGAAAATTCTGGGAGGCAATGATTGGTTCTCCTAGAATTACAGGCACCAAGTGATGATATAAACCCGGCACGAAAAAAAGCGGGTTGTCTTGTGGTGTTTGTGCAACGTACCTAACTCAACCTCAACTAGCACGTTTTTAGACTCGGAGCATGAAAGCTTGGTCTTCTTTAAAGAGAAACTGAAGTAAGGCAATGAAGATGTCTACGGGATAAAATGGGGAAATGGTAGAGGAGCTTTTCGCACAGAGAGGAGTGATCCATGTAACCCAGGTCCAACTTGGACTATTAGTTTTTATAAGCTTTGAATGAGGAAAGAGGTTAATTTTCATAAATTGAAAGGAATAGGTGAAAGAGAATCCAATGAAAGTTAATTTTGGAGTGGAATATAAGCTTTGCCTGGGGAAAGAGAATACAATGAAAGTTAATTTTCAGAATTGAGAGTGTAATATAGAAGGGGTGGTTTTTTTGATAGGAAATTGGGTAGCTTTTAAATAGCCTTTAATATATAAAAACAACATGAATTATAATGGGTCATGTTGAACTCATATTATGGAATTTCTTTTAAAAAGACTGAAGTTTGTTTGTAGCTTTTGATAGAAGTCCCACACATTTTCTCCCTCTAATTATCTCTGTGGTTGTTTTGTGGTACCTACGTTCTCTCTACTGTACTTGTTTTCTCCATAGCTTAGCCGCATATAGTAAAGAAGGAGCTTTTAACTGTTTGGGAGAACCAAGCCTCGAGAAAAAGAGGCCGGCAATGAAGGATAAAGGACGTAAAAATCTCATTTCTTTTTATTGAAGTCCAGCATAGTTTCCACTATGTATCCCTTCTCACATATAATCTCAGAGAAACATGCATATGAGAGAGAAATATCAGCCAAAAATAGGTGTAGACAAGTAAAACCAAGAGAGAGGGAGCAAGAGAGGAACAGTAGGAGAGGTGTGTGAGGAAGAAAGAAACAGGGAATGATGCATTCAGACTTTTGGCCCACTTAGAGAGAGAGGCAGGGAGTTTTGGACGAGAGAGGGGCAAGGAGGATGTTAAGATGAAGTTCTGGGCTTTTCGTTACAGCGATGACCCGGCCCAAACCGAGAATAACACGCTCTTTCATACCGGGCCTAGATTCAGCCAGAAGCCTGAAATTCAAGCTGAAGAGGTCCTGAACCCGGTCCAAATTATGAGGCCCACCCGGACCATTGGCACATACATTTCAATGTTTGCATAAGGTTGCAAACTTTAAATCAATCAAAGTAAAGACGCACCTCTAAACTTGATGAGGGTAAAGTTTGCATAAGCTTGCAAACTTTAAATCAATCTAAGGTGCACCTCTAAACTTTATCATAAGATGCAATTTTGGTGTCAAAAATTTTTAGGATGGCCTCAAAATCTATTTCCATCCAATTCTAAAATTTTAAACTTCAAAAATGGTTTGGATCAAGTAAATCTATAAACACATGAAAATCTTGAAAATGGATGGTCCAGATAATGTGGTGTAAAGCATACTATTTTTGAAACTTGAACTCTTTTTTTTTTTTTCTATCCATAAATCTTGATGTCAAGATGATCAATTAAATAGTTTTCCAACATTAAATAGCCTTTTCGGATAGATTTTTGAGGTGTACCTTAATTCTACAATTTAAGGTGTCAACCTTGTATAAAGGTTTTCCTTACCTGAAATTTGTATTAAGTCCATTGCCAATCGTTTGACTACAATTGGCGCCGTGAAGCGAACTGCATAAAAGAATAAAAAATAGTTATAGATCTTGAAACCATCCTAAAATAATCTTTGGACTATAGTTAAGAAATTGCCTCATACATTAATTTTGAAGGAAATAAAATCGATATAACTCAGTTTTGGTCTAAAAAAAGGAGTTAAAGAAGGTTAAAAGGTTACGTAGTGCCATTTTTTTAAAAAAAAATTATTTCGGATTTGCCTTAGAAAGTTAGATTTAATAGAAGAAAGAAAATATGTATATGGGTAAATTTGTTCCAGGAGGAAATGTAGAAGCAATAAATCTCCAGTAAAAATAAAGAAAAAGAAATAAATTTGTTCAGAGTGTAAATGTAGAAACAATAAATCTCCAGTAAAAAGAAAGAAAATTCTTTATTCATATTGTACGTAATCATATACTAGATAATCATTAAAACCTTGTCAAATATACCTAGGAATAGCTAACTTCACAAACTAAAATTGATTAAGGCTAAATTAGTAAATTATGACTAACAAAGTTCTACAATGGGGAAGGTCAACCACGATATATGCAAATAAAAAACATAAATGCAATTCTATGAAGAATTTGCACTTTCTTTTTGCATAAGTATAATAATGATAGCCTACGTCTAAGTTTTATTTTCTTTAAGACAGTGAATTCTAATATATTTGAAAATCATTCCTTTGGAAATGTTAGGCATAAAAAAACATTTTCTTCGGAAGAATGGTCTATTATACAAAATATTGTTGACTATGCTATGGACCAGTGTTATCAAAACCAGTTTCGTCATCAAACCAGTTAGTTGTCTGGTCTAGTTATAACAAGTCCGATTTGGTTAGATTGGTTGATGCAAATTTTAAAATAAGAAATTAAAAATAATGCTTTAAAGAGTAAGAAGTATATTCTAGAAATTTTTTTCCAAAATTGTTTAGTCGGTCTAACCTCTCCAAATCAACTGGTCAAACCAAATATTAGTTTTGACCAATTTCTGACAAGATATAGTTTTCGATTTGGGCTAGACCTACCAAGGCACTATCAGAGATCCAACCAGTTGGAAAGGCAAGGCCGCTTTTCGTCAAGTATTAATAACTATACTTCGAACCACGGAATATGGAAGAATCATGCCTTCCAAAACCTCAATGCATCATTAAAATGGGTCACATGGCAGCAATCTAGGTAGAAGAACTCAGAGTGGTGGCATTAAAGAAGATAAAGGGACATGAGAAGATCATGTTGGCACTATGCCTCTGCAAGTGCTTTGCATTGCAAAGAAGCGCATATTCTACTGCAATGAAAGGAACGCTAGGGGAATTTTGATTAATAGGCTTAGACTACAGACTTGTACATTTAATTAAACTGCTGGATGATTCCCTTCATAAACTACAAGAGACCCACATCTGTAAACAGGTGTGGAAAACCAAGCTGTACATCTTCATGGCATCTAATGAGCAGCTTAAAGCAGCACTCGGTCAAGCATTCAACAGAAACCAATGGCACTGCAAGCAACAGACTTGCAAAAGTTCTAGGATTGCGGTACCAAATTCTATATATTCACCGAGGAAAGATACCTAGTGAATCCAAATAATCCCACCTCCATTGCCTTCACCGGGCTTGGAGCTCAAGCAAGTATTGAAATGGAGGCGACAACCGAATTGATACGAGGCTTTATACAAAGACAACTCCCTCCCGAATTAGCCTGCCAATCAGTTTGAGATAATCGAATCTCCAAGTATTGAAACTCAAAAGTACCGAGTGTTGCGAGGACGACTGTCAACAGTATGAATTTCTTTGGACTTTCTCACCCAGTAAATTTTTTATATGAGAAACAATAAAGAATTAAGTTGCTTATGTTGAATACACTCCAAAATCTCTTCTTTCTATTGGATTAGTATTGAGATTGTTAAAGTGTATTTTCTAGAAATTATGTTAGTCTTTATTTTATTTTATTATGAGTCTTGAGCTTGATGCCATTTTCAAGATTCTAATGCCTTTGTATATCCCATTTTCATATTTGAATGCAAGTTTTACTTCCACCTCATCTTAATTGTTCTTCTTTTTTCTCTTTGGTTGTGAGTCTAAGGCTAGTGCGACATTGTTATACTAATTGAAAAGTGGATTGTTCCGGTATTGCAGCATCAATCTTTCTCTACAATTGTTTCACTTTTACAATCTAAAATACTATCAAACAATAAACCACGTCGGAACATTCAAGCACTTTAGTTTTTGTTTTATTCATAAAAATTTGATAGATATATGGCCAATGGATTAATTGTAATGGGTAATTTATTGGAATATAGGAAAAATCCCAACAACTAATCTTGTTTCCCACATAGACATGCTGGGACCAAGTATGATCCAAATGAAAATTCTCAGTTAATTACAACTATTCCAATGGAATTGATGGAATACATTAAGCTTCCTCTGTGTCTCTCTGGAGGGTTGGTTCAAGTAATAAATATGAAAGAGAAATAATGAAGCTCGAGCTACTACGTCGGCCTGCATTGTCACTATCAATTTCTCATCTTATTGCCTCTGATTCACTAGAAGTTTTGAACTTGTAAAATAGTATATAGTAGATAGGAATAAAACGTGATTCAGTTTAAGGTTTCACTCGTTATATAATAAACTATACCCATAATGCCAGCAATTTTCTCTAATAAAAAAATACATTATTGAGAACTCCTGCTTTTTGGGCATATTAATCCAACACCACATGCAAAAAAAGTAGCCCCCAGGTTCCTAATACCAACAATGTTCCTAATCACAAACAACCTCAAAAGAGAGAGAGAGAGAGCAGCTATTGGATGCCTCCTTATCACCAATAGAGAGTGCATCTTTTCTATTTCACTTGTTTATATATATATATATATATATATATATATATATATTATATAGTAGAGAGAGTCTATTTCTTGTTAACTACTACGTACGTA